GGTCAGGGGGTGGGAGGCTGACGCGGGGGGGGTCGGGATGGGAGGCTGACGCGGGGGGGTCAGGGGGGGGGAGGCTGACGCGGGGGGTCTCAGGGGGTGGGAGGCTGACACGGGGGGGTCAGGGGGTGGGAGGCTGACACGGGGGCGTGGTCAGGGGGTGGGAGGCTGACACGGGGGCGTGGTCAGGGGGTGGGAGGCTGACACGGGGGCGTGGTCAGCGGGTGGGAGGCTGACACCGGGACGTGGTCAGGGGGTGGGAGGCTGACACAGGGAACAGGGGACCGGGAGCCGGGCCACGAGGCCCATCCTCAGGGTTGACTTCCCCGCAGGAGAAGGCGCGGCGGGAGGCGCAGGCGGCGCGGGAGGCCGAGCAGCAGCTGGCGCTGGCGCAGTCGGAGGCGCGGCGCTTGGAGGGCGAGCTGGACGCGGCGCGGAGAGAGAGGGACGCGCTGCAGCTGGAGATGAGCTTGATACAGGTCAGGCGGCAGGGGGTCCGGAGGCGGCTTTCCTGCTGGGGGGAAGGGGGTCTGAGGCACAGCGACCTCTGGGAGTCGTGGCAGACGCTCCGGAGTTTAACTAGAATGTTCACCTTGGCTTCTGCTTTTACAGTAGGACCCCCTCCCCCCGCCCCTCATCCACGGGGATGCAGTGCTGGGACCTTGGGTGGTACTAAGTACTAAGGCCTGTGTGTGCCGTGTCTCCTGTACGCCCGCACCTGTGAGGACGGTCATTTACAGGGTAGTCACAGTAAGAGATGAACAACAGTGACTGTTATAAAGTTGAGCACTTGTGGGGCGCCTGGGCGGCTTGGTGGGTTGAGCTCCGACTCTCAATTTCCGCTCAGGTCACGATCTCACGGTTCGGGAGTTCGAGCACCGAGCAGGGGTCTGGCTGACAGTGTGGAGTCTGCTTGGGACTCTCCTTCTCTCCCTCTCTCTCTGCCCCTCCCCTGCTCACACTCTCTCTCAAAGTTAAAAAAAATATTTTAAAAATTGAGCACTTACAAGCATGTAATGTTATAAAAGTTATGTGATGTGGCCTCTCACTCTCTCAAAATATCAGTGTCTTGCACTCACCCTTCTTCTTTATTTCTTTTTTAAACGTTTATTTACTTTCAAGAGAGCACAAGCAGGGGAGGGGCAGAGAGAGGGACACACAGAATCGGAAGCAGGCTCTAGGCTCTGAGCTGTCAGCGCAGAGCCTGACGCGGGGCTCGAACCCACAAACTGTGAGATTATGACCTGAGCCGAAGTCGGATGCTTAACCGACTGAGCCACCCAGGTGCCCCCTCACCCTTCTTCCTCTTGTGAGGATGGGAGATGATAAAATGGCCACAGGATGGGATGAAAGAGGTGGATGCCGCAAGCGCTGTGACACAGTGTGAGGCCAGTCTTGACCTAATGATACCGTCAGAAGGGGGATTACCTGCTTCGGACCGCAGGTGACCGCGGGTGACCGAAACCACAGAGAGGGGAACCGTGGATGAGAGGGGACCGCTGTGTGTGTAGAATGTGTGTTCAGGGCAGATGAATGAGGATCTGAGAGCACGTCCGTCTGAGAGGGTTTCCTTCCTCGTGGTTGACTTCGGGAGATACACCCAGCCTCTGGGTCAGCGAGACCCGCGTTTGGAAAAACACACTCCTTTCGCTTTTCACCCGGCCCTTAAGTTGGCTGACCGACCACGTGGCAACTGATGTCGTGGGCGACCGAGGGTGTTAGTGCAGTTGCGTGGCTGTTTGTGAGCTGCTGTCGCCCTCCGACCTGGTTGTGTGTCCACAGAGCCTGGGGAACGTTCCCTGCGTTAGCTCCGTGCCAGGAGTGGCAGCAGCCCTGGCCCCGGGGACACGCCCTTGGCGTGCTAGCTGATGGCTGAGGGCCAGGAGAACCAGTCTTTACTCCGATATCGTCTTTTCAGGGAGGTCTTCCCCCACCCCTGCAACCTCACAGCCCCTGTTCCCCTCCCTGCTTGATCTTGCTCCTAACATGCTACATACTGTACCTTTTAAAGTCTTGTATTTTTTTGAAAGCAAGGATTTTTGTCTTTTTGTTGTTGAATCCCAGAATAGTGCCTGGCTTTAATACCATTCAAGTCCTTGCTTTTGTATTCTATCCATTTTTGGGGTTGGGGAGGGAGAGACAGAATCCCAAGCAGGCTCCATGCTGTCATCGCAGAGCCCGATGCAGCGCTCAGTCCCACAAACCCCAAGATCATGACCAGAGCCGAAATCAAGAGTTGGATTTTTTGGGGCGACTGGGTGGCTTAGTCGGTTAAGCATCCGACTTTCGCTTAGGTCATGATCTCGCGGTAGTGGGTTCGGGCCCCGCGTCGGGCTCTGTTCTGACAGCTCAGAGCCTGGAGCCTATTTCGGAGTCTGTGTCTCCCTCTCTCTCTGACCCTCCCCTCTTCACGCTGTCTCTCTCTGTCTCCTAGAAAAAAAAAAAAAAGGTTGGATTGTTTTGAGAGAGAGAGTGAGCACAAGCAGGGGAGGGGCAGAGAGAGAGAGAGGCAAACAGAATCGGAAGCAGGCTCCAGGCTCTGAGCCGCCAGTGCAGAGCTCGGTGCACGGCTTGAACTCACGGACCGCAAGATCATGACCGAAGCCGAAGTTGGACACTTAACCAACTGAGCCCCCCAGACGCCTCAAGAGTTGGATTTGTAACTGACTAAGCCACCCAGGTGCCTCTGTTCTATCCATTGTTGAAAGGGAGGTGTTGATGTTTCCAACTATTACCGTAGAACTGTCCATCTCTCCCTTCAAGACTATCAATTTTTTCTTTATATAATTTGGGGCTCTGTTAAGTGAATATATGTTTATGTTGTTACGTCTTCCTGATATAATTTTTTTTGGGCTTAAAATTTTGTCTAATGATAACATAGCCCCTACTCTAGCTCTCTTGGTTGCTCTTTGCATGGACTTTTTTCATCCTTTTATTTACAACCTCTGTGTCTTTATATCTAAAGTGAGTGTCCCCCCCCTTTTTTTTTTTACATTTGTTTATTTTTGAGAGACAGAGGGTGAGTGGGGGTGGGCAGAGAGAGATGGAGACACAGAATTGGAATCTGAGCTGTCAGCACAGAGCCTGATGTGGGGCTTCAACCCACGAACCGTGAGATCATGACCTGAGCTGAAGTCGGTAGGTTAACCAACTGAGCCACCCAGGTGCCCCTAAAGCGAGTCTCTTATCCAGACAACATATAGGTGGATTATGTTTTGTTTTTTAATCCATCCTGCCACTTTCTGTCTTTTAATTGGAAAATTTAATCCATTTACATTTAAAGTAATTACTGGAAAAGAATGACTTATTTCTGCCATTTAACTATTTGCTTTCTGTATGTCCTGCTTGGTTTTTGTTTTTGTTTTCCTTAATTCCTCCATTACTGCCTTCTTGGGGTCCTTCATTGATATTTTGTGTACCATTTTGATTCTCTTAGTTTTTCCTTTTCTGTACATTTTAGAAGTTTTCTTAATGATTACCTTGGGATTGCAATTAACATTTTATTAAAAAAATTTTTTTTAATGCTTTATTTCTGAGAGAGAGAAAGAGACAGCGTGAGCAGGGGAGGGTCAGAGAGAGAGGGAGACACGGAATCTGAAGCAGGCTCCAGGCTCTGAGCTGGCTGTCAGCACAGAGCCCGACGTGGGGCTTGAACCCACAAACCGTGAGATCGTGATCTGAGCTGAAGTCAGATACTTAACCGACAGGCGCCCCTACAATTAACATTTTAATAATAACCTAGTTTGAATAACACTAGCTCTAGTTTCCATAGTGAACGAACATTGTTGCTATACATCTGTGTCTCTCTGCTTTCATAGTGTTATTGACACAGATTATAATTACTGTTTAATGAATCTGCCTTTTATATCGTATAGGAAAAAAGAAATTCTAAACCGAAACTACAGTAATACCTGGGGCGCCTGGATGGCTCATTCGGTTGAGCGTCTGACTTCGGCTCAGGTCATGATCTCGCGCTCCATGAGTTTGAGCCCCACTTCGGGCTCTGTGCTGACAGCTCGGAGCCTGGAGCCTGCTTCAGATCCAGTATCTTCCCCTCTCTGCCCCTCCCCCATTCACACTCTGTCTCTCTCAAAAATCAACATTTAAACTTTTTAAAAAGAAAGTACAGTAATACAGACTTTTGCATTTACCTCTGTAGGGCCCTTTACCACTGTTCTTTATTTATTCATATGGTTCCAGTTACTGCTGAATTTCATTTCAGTTTAGCCTGCAGGACTCTCTTCAGCATGTTTCTGTGGGTCAGGTTGACTAGTGATCAATCCTCTTAGCTTTTGTTCATCTGAGAATGCCTTAATTTCTCCTTCATTCTTGTAGGATTTTTTTAAATGTTTATTTATGAGAGGGGGAGAGAGCATGTGAGCGAGCAGGGGTAGAGGGGCAGAGGGAGAGAGAGAAAGAACCCCAAGCAGGCTCCATATCAGCCTGGAGCCTGACACCAGGCTTGATCCCACAGCCCTGGGATCATGACCTGAGCTGATAGCAGGAGTCAGATGCACAACCGACTGAGCCCCCCAGGTGCCCCTTGAAGAGTTTTTTTTAGTTGACAGTTGATTTGATTTTCTTCCAGCATTTTAAATATGTCATTCCACTACCCTCTGGGCGCTCTCCCTTCTTACAGGACATCAGCTGTTAGTGTTACTGCAGTGCTTTTGTGAGTGACAGGGTCCTTCTTTCGCTGCTTTCTGTTTGGCCCTTGACAGCGTGACTGTGATGTGTCGTAGTGCGAATCTCTTTGAGTTCATTCTGCTTAGATTGTTGAGTTTCTGGAATGGGCGGGTTTACGTCTTTCATCAAATTTGGGAAGTTTTTGACCATTTCTTCAAACATTTTTTTCTGTTCCTTTCTCTCTCTCTCTCTCGTCATTCCAGGACGTCTCCGTTGCAGATGTTGGTATGATGTCCCGCAGGTCCCTCAGGCTCTGTTCTTTTCTCAGTGGTTTTTTTCTTTCTGCTCGTGAGCTTGGATAACTTCAGTTGCTTATCCTCGAGTTCATTGGCCCTTTCTTCTCGCTGAAATCTGCTGTTCAGCCCCTTTAGTGAATTTTTTAAAAATTTTTTTCAGTTTTCTTTTCTTTTCTTTTTTTTTTAAATGTTTTATTTATTTCTAGGAGAGAGAGAGAGACAGCGTGAGCAAGGGAGGGTCAGAGAGAGAGGGAGACACAGACTCTGAAACAGGCTCCAGGCTCTGATCTGGCAGTCAGCACAGAGCCCGACGCGGGGCTCTAACCCACGAACCGCGAGATCATGACCTAAGCGAAAGTCGGACGCTCAACCGACTAAGCCACCCAGGCGCCCCTTTTCTGTTTTATTTCTGAGAGAGAGAAAGATAGAGACAGCATGAACAGGGGAGGGTGAGCGAGAGAGGGAGACACAGAATCGGAAGCAGCTCCAGACTCTGAGCTGTCAGCACAGAGCCCGACGCAGGGCTCGAACCCACGAACTGTGAGATCATGACCTGA